CCACTATGCCTGGCTAATTTTTTTGTGTTTTTAGTAGAGACGGGGTTTCACCGTGTTAGCCAGGATGGTCTCGATCTCCTGACCTCGTGATCCGCCCATTTCGGCCTCCCAAAGTGCTGGGATTAGTGAGCCACCGCGCCCGGCCAATTATTCTTTATTCCCATACCACTCATATCCAATCCATCAGTGAGTCGTCTTGTTTCTACCTTCAAAATATACCACCTGACAGCTCTCTACTTTTCTCCATCTCCTCCACCATCATCACAGTCACAGCCACCATTTTCTTTCATTAGAGGACTCCTAACTTCCTCTCTCACTCATCTACACGGTTCTCCACTTGACAGGCAAAATCTTTTATAAATGTAATTTAGATTATGTTCATCCCCTGCTTAAAAGCATCCAATCATTCATTCAAACAATACTCACCAAGTGCCGACTACGTCCCAGGCACTGTGGCAGAAAGAAGACACAGTATTTGATACGGTTTGGTTGTGTCCCCACCCAAATCTCATCTTGAATTCCCATGTGTTGTAGGAGGGACCTGGTAGGAGATAACTGAATCATGGGGGCAGGTCTTCCCCGTGCTGTTCTCATGACAGTGAATAAGTCTCATAAGATCTGATGGTTTTATAAGGGGAAGTTTCCCTGCACAAGCTCTTTTTTGCCCTGCTGCCATCCATGTAAGATATGACTTGCTCCTCCTTGACTTCCGCCATGATTGTGAGGCCTCCTTAGCCACATGGAACTGTGAGTCCATTAAACCTATTTTTCTTCCCGGTTTCAGCTTATGTCTTTATCAGCAGTGTGAAAAAGGACTAATACAGTATTGAGCAAGTCAATGTCCTGTTCCTCTCAAAACTAGTAATGGGTATCTCAGACCCTTAAACATACACACACACACACACACAAACACACGTTGGGAATAACAGCTACTATTAAGAAAAATAGGCCAGATGTGGTGGCTCATGCCTGTAATCTCAGCACTTTGGGAGGCTGAAGTGGGTGGATCACCTGAGGTCAGGAGTTTGAGACCAGCCTGGCCAACATAGTGAAACCCCGTGTCTATCAAAAATACAAAAATTAGCTGGACATGGTGGCGGGTGCCTGTAATCCCAGCGACTTGGGAGGCTGAAGCAGGAGAATTGCTTGAACCCGGGAGGTGGAGGCTACAGTGAGCCGAGATCACGCCATCACGTCACTGCACTGAGAGAGAGAGAGAGAGAGAGAGGAAAGAGAAGAAAGAGAAAGAGAAAAAAGAGAAGAAAGAGAAGAAAGAGAGAAAGCAAGCAAGCAAGCAAGCAAGAAAGAAAGAAAGAAGAGAAAAAGAAAGCAGGTGAGAGGTAGAAAATGAGGCCAGTGGTGGGGAGGGGCGATAATCTGGAAAGACTGGTCAGTAGGTGGCACCAGAGCGGAGAGCTCAATGAAGACTGGAGTGAGCCATGCACAGACCTAAGGAAAGAATGTCCCAGGTATGGGAGGGCCAGTGACTCCCACTCAACTTAAATCCCAATCTCTTCTGTGTTCCTCAAGTCCTTCATCATCTATAGCTCACACCTACCTCCCAAATCCCATTTGTGGCTCTTCTTTCCACTTTGTTTTGGTAATCCTAGACTTGTTTCTTTAAAACACACCAATCTTTTTGCTGATTCTTCACCCTCCAGGTGTTGATTTCAATGTCACCTGCTTAGAACATCTTCCCCGTTTGTCCTTTCTAGATGCACTACTCACCTCTAATTTCTCTGTTACTTTTTTTTTGAAATGGGGTTTCACTCTTGTAGCCCAGGCTGGAGTGAAGTGGCGTGATCTTGGCTCACTGCAACCTTCACTTCCCAGGTTCAAGCGATTCTCCTGCCTCAGCCTCCCAAGTAGCTGGGATTACAGGCTCACACCACTATACCTGACTATTTTTTGTATTTTTAGTAGAGACAGAGTTTCACCATGTTGGCCAGGCAGCTGGTCTCAAACTCCTGACCTCAGGTGATCTGTCCACCTCGGCCTCACAAAATGCTGGGATTGCAAGTGTGAACCACTGCACCTGGCCTCTCTGTTACTTTTTAATCACTGCATCCTGCATTTTCTTCTTAGCAATTATTAGGATTTAAAGTACAGTAGTTCCTCCTAATGCACAGTTTCACTTTCCATGGCTTCATTTACCTGTGGTCAACTGCGTCCGAAAATATTAAATGGAAAATTCCAGAAACAAATAAATCCTAAGCTTTAAATTAAATGCTGTTCTGAGTTGCATGGTGAAATCTCACACTGTCCTGCACTGTCCTGCCCGGGATGTGAATCACCCCTTTATGCAGCATATTTGCTCTTAGCCTCAAGCAATCTACCTGCCTTGGCCTCCCAAAGTGCTGGGATTATAGGCATGAGCCACTGAGCCTGGTCTGCATCCAGGCATTCGTTATTATTCAGTTTATTTCCATTGTGATTTCCTCTTTGACTCTTCGGGCATTTAAAAGTAGTTTCTTAATTTCCAAGTATATGTGGAAATAACAAAATCTTTTTATTATTCATATCTGGCTTAATTCCACTATGGTAACAGAACATCTCCTATGTAATTTTAACCCTTTGAAATTTGTTAAGACTTGCTTTAAGGCCTAGAATATGGAGAAATTTTTAAGTGTTCCATGTATACCTGAAAAGAATGTGTACTCTGCCGTGGATGGGTGGCATGTCCTATTAATGTTAAGTCAGGTTTGTCATTCTCATTGTCCAAACATTCTATATTTGTACTAAGAGAGGTATTTTAAACCTCCCACTATGGTTGTAAATTTGTCTACTTCCCCTTTTAGTTTTGATTTATTTGTTTGAATGTTGTTCAATGCTACTGTTATAGGCTATGTTATTAGGTGCACATAAATTTATGAATGCTATTTCTCCTTAGTGAATTGAACTTTTTATAAGTAAGCATCCTTTTTTATCTCTAGTAATGCTTTTTGCCTTTAGGTCCATTTTATATTAAAATAATATCTGTGATACTTTTCTTTTGGTTAGAATGTTGTATTTGTCCATTCTTTTACTCAAGCTTTCTATGTCCTATTTATAGTGTCTACTCTGTAAACAACATATGACTGGATTTTGTATTTTTAATGTAGTATAAAAATCTTTGTTTTTTAAAAATTAGAGTATTAGGCTAGTACAATCCTCAGAAATACAGTGTTAGCCATGTATGTAGTTTTAAATTTTCTAGTAGCCACATCAAAAAAAGTAAAAAGAAGCAAGTGAAATTAACTTTGATTATAGATTTTAGTTAACCCAATACAATAATATATATTGTAATACTTCAAATTATAGCCAATACAAAAATTATTAATGAGGCTTTCTTTTTTTTTTTTTCCAAGATGGAGTCTTACTCTGTTGCCCAGGCTGGAGTGCACTGGCGTGATCTTGGCTCACTGCAACCTCTGCCTCCCGGGTTCAAGTGATTCTCCTGCCCCAGCCTCCCGAGTAGCTGCGATTACAGGCATGCACCACCATGCCTGGCTAAGTTTTTTGTCTTTTTAGTATAGACGGGGTTTCACCATGGTGGTCAGGTCTCTAACTCCTGACCTCAAATGATCCGCCCACCTCAGCCTCCCAAAGTGCTGGGATTACAGGCATGAGCCACCGCACCCGGTCAACGAGGCATTTTACATCCTTTTTTCGGTACGAAGCATTTGGAATCCAGCATAGATTTTGTACTCTCAGTCCGTGTCAATTCAGACGAAACACATTTCAAGTGACTAACAGTCACATGTGGCTAGTAATTACTGTATTGAGCAGTATACATTTAGAATATTCACATTTAACGTAATCACCAATATATTTCGGTGTCCAATTACCATCTTCTATCTGTTTTCCCTGTTCTATATTCCTTTTCAATTCTTTCCATCTCTTCTTTTGGATTACCAGTAATTTTATTAGCTTCACCTGCCCCCTTCCCTATTGGCCTGATATTTACAAATTCTTTTATTTATTTTTAGTGGCTTTTCTAATAAAGGTTAGGCTTTAGTGGCTTTCCTAATAAAGGTTAGCACTAATAAATTAGTGCTTTAACCTCTTCCCAGTCAATGCCGAGGTCTTGGAACACTAACTCCACTTACTCCCAAACAATTTTATGCTATTGTTATATATTTTAATTCTAAATATATTCTACATCATGTAAGACATTATTATTATTTTTTGCTGTTAATATTCATTTAGATTTGTTTTCATGTTTCTTTTTTCTTTTTTTTTTTTTGAGATGGAGTCTTGCTCTATTGCCCAGGCTGGAGCGCAGGGCACAATCTTGGCTCATTGCAACCTCTGCCTCCCAGGTCCAAGCCATTCTCCTGCCTCAGTCTCCCAAGTAGCTGGGATTTCAGGCATGCGCCACCACGCCCAGCTGATTTTTTGTATTTTTAGTAGAGATGGGGTTTCACTATGTTGGCCAGGATGGTCGTGAACTCCTGACGTCAAGTGATCCACCTGCCTCGGCCTCCCAAAGTGCTGGGATTTCAGGTGTGAGCCACCGTGTCCGGCCCATGTTTAATTTTCTTTGCTCTTCAAATCATCTGCATCTCCTAATTTCTACCGGAGGTGGACTGCCTTCTGCCTGACGTATACTAATTTCTACCGGAGGTGGACTGCCTTCTGCCTGACGTATACTAATTTCCACCGGAGGTGGACTCCGCCTTCTGCCTGACGTATACTAATTTCCACCGGAGGTGGACTCCGCCTTCTGCCTGACGTATACTAATTTCCACCGGACGTGGACTCCGCCTTCTGCCTGACGTATACTAATTTCCACCGGACGTGGACTCCGCCTTCTGCCTGACGTATACTAATTTCCACCGGACGTGGACTCCGCCTTCTGCCTGACGTATACTAATTTCCACCGGACGTGGACTCCGCCTTCTGCCTGACGTATACTAATTTCCACCGGACGTGGACTCCGCCTTCTGCCTGACGTATACTAATTTCCACCGGACGTGGACTCCGCCTTCTGCCTGACGTATACTAATTTAATTTCCACCGGACGTGGACTCCGCCTTCTGCCTGACGTATACTAATTTCCACCGGACGTGGACTCCGCCTTCTGCCTGACGTATACTAATTTCCACCGGACGTGGACTCCGCCTTCTGCCTGACGTATACTAATTTCCACCGGACGTGGACTCCGCCTTCTGCCTGACGTATACTAATTTCCACCGGACGTGGACTCCGCCTTCTGCCTGACGTATACTAATTTCCACCGGACGTGGACTCTGCCTTCTGCCTGACGTTTTAGTCAAGGTCTGCTGGTGACACATTTTCTGTGTTTGTCAGAGAAGATATTTTGCCTTTTTTAAAAAGAAACAAAACAGAACAAAACAAAAAAAGATCTCACTGTAACACCCAGGCTTGAGTGCAACGGCACCATTACTGCCCACTGCAGCCTCAACCTCCTGGGCTCAAGTGATCCACCCTGGCTGATACTTTACCTTTATTGTTGAGACATTATACTGGATAAATAATTCTAGATTTAATGTTAGAACTCTCAAGCTGGCATTCCACTCTAACATTACTCTTCCCCTGACTTACTTTTTGAAACGAGCACTGGAATGCCTGCCCAATCTGCCTCACAGTGTTATCATCAGGCTCCAGTAATAGAAGGGGGATATAAAGGCATTTTTCAACTACAATGTACCATATTAAAACACAACAAATTAATAGATTAGTTGGAATAAAAGACTATCCAGGATAAAAGTTACACATTAAAGAGGATCTTGCTTGCTAAGAATTGAAAAAAAATTGTTTCGAGTTCTTAAACATCCCATTATTTGTATCAATCAAACTTAGTTTCACATTTCTACTTGAAACAAGGAGAGTTACAATTCTTCAGATAATTCTTGTCTTCTCTTCCAACAAAGTAAACAATGAGTCCATTTATGAATTGAGGTTTTCAACCTGCTAACCAAACCACAAACTCATATCTGCACTATATGATGAGGAATCATGCGTTTTATAGTATTTTAAAATGTCCATTTACTTGTAAAATGTTTCAGCAATTATTTTTCTTCTCATTCAGCTACATGGAACACTCAGAACAGTTACAGATGTGGAGAATTTTACGGGTCAGTTTTGATTAGCATGGAAACCAAGAAACAACAGGTAAGGTTGTGATATTCTCCAATAAAATTTCTAATAGAATCGGTAATCTTCAGTTTTCCTTCAATCTATAAAACCTTTAAAAATTTTTTTCTTTCTTTCTTTTTTTTTTTTTTTTGAGACAGAGCCTCACTCTGTCACCCAGGCTGGAGTGCAGTGGTGCGCTCTCGGCTTCATGCAACCTCCACCTCCCAGATTCAACAGATTCTCGTGCCTCCGCCTCCTGACTAGCTGGGACTACAGGTACACGCCACCACACCTGATTAATTTTGTACTTTTTTTTTAGTAGAGACAGGGTTTCCCCATGTTGGCCAGCTGGTCTTGAACTCCTGGCCTCAAGTGATCCACCTGCCTCGGCCTCCCAAAATGCTGGGATTACAGGCATCAGCCATCATGCCCAGCCTTTTTTTTTTCTTTTAAATAGAGACGAGGTCTCATTATGTTGCCCAGGCTGGTCTCAAACTCCTGAGCTCAAGTGATCCTCCCACCTGGGTCTCCCAAAGTGGTGGGATTACAGGTGTGAACTACCATGCCAAGCCAATAACCTGTCTTCATAAGTACCCTTTTAACTATTCATTTTTCATATAACGATAGCAATAAGTTAGGGAACCACAGTAGCTCAAATTAAAAAATAAAAGGTATCCCTTCAAACTTCTAAATGTCCAATAATTTTTCATAAGTTAAGATATTTAATGTCATTGAATAAAAACTTTAAAATTGCAATTACTCTCTGGACCTCATCTTCCAAACCTGTAGTTTAAGACAGCAATCTGGCTATGACATGTTACATTACTGGTGCCAGGGCTGATTTTACAGATCTAGTTGGTTAGGTAGGTGTTCCTTTCCTCTTTCACCACTTCTTATGCATACTTCTGCCAACATACACACCACCAAAATACTGTTAGCTCACTTTCACATGTATGAGTGGTTTTGCTTCTTAATGTAAAACCTTTTACTCTTCATGTTTTCAATCACTATTTATCAATGGTCTTCCACAGAACAAGCAGGTCATTTGTGGTCTGCAGAAAGTTTAACTGGCCTTTAAGTATGTTTACATATTTTTTAAAAATAAACTTTAACATCTAGAAAACATAAATAAAACACATCAAATTTCTATTTGTTTATTATATGTATGTATTTTATGTGTATAGCCTGTTGATTTAAAATGAGAAGCACTACACATCTTAAAAGAACTAAATAAGATATCCAAATTTCTTAAGAATAATAACTTGTATGGTTCTTTACACAGTCTTTGAGAGTTGTACCATCGAAGGAGGCCTAAGGAACGGGGCACTCAGCACACTTGAAAACTACCATTGTCACAGTGCCTCTATATTCCTGTCTCTGAAACGCTTTATGAAGAGCTGGAAAATAAGAGATACACCATTGACACTGCTTATAAAACCTAGTAAATATCATATGTAAGTATATATATCATATATAAGTATAAAACCTAGTAAATATATATAAGTAACTGAAAACAGAACGCTTTTATGGTTAATTTGACAAATATGTTTGATGTTAATCTCTGCACATTTGGCATGGTAGATTTTATGACCTTCAAGTACACAGCAAAATTTAAAAGAGAAAAATTAAGTATAACCAACCAAACTTGCTTCATTACATATAAATGCCACTAGGTAAGTCAAGAAAACCTAAAACAATCAGTTGTTATACTTGAGATGCCAAATCTTCATGTAGGTAAGTGGATCACAGTTGTTATTTACTCTAGAAAAAGGCCATACGAGGTCAACTGAAGACATAATGCCCAGTCAAGCTGACACATGATATGTAATGATAAGGGGCATATAATATCTAAAAGCGGTTTCTTGAGTTATGATTCAATCACAAATGTCCATGTTCAGGCTGCTGACAAGTCTGGGAATTATTATTAAATGCTGAATCACCATTCTTTCTTTACTATTTTTAAATAAATACAGATATGTGTCAACCATTCAATTTTAAAAAAATAACAGTCTGGACACAGTGGCTCATTTCTGTAATCCCAACACTCTGGGAGGCCAAAGCAGGAGGCTCACTTGAGCCCAGGGGTTCAAAACCAAGCTGAGTAACACAGTAAGACCCCATCTCTGCAAAAAATTTAAAAACGAGCCAAGTGTGGTGGCATACACCTGTAGTCCCAGCTACTCACGAGGCAGAGGCTGCAGTGAGCCATGATCCCACCACTGCACTCTAGCCTGGGCGACAGAGTGAGACCATCTCTCCAGGGGGAAAAAAAAAGAAGAAATAGTAACTCTTGAAAAAAAACAAGTACTGCATAAAACGCTGCCTTACCTTCATGACATCTCTATACGACCGAATAGCTGAGATTTTCCTCTTTTCATCTTCTTCATCTTCCGGGCCTTCTTCTGCAGCCTCATAGCCCTCATCGTTGCTGCCGTCAGCTTCTACCGTGTTGGCCATGCGATCGATGAGCTGCTCTAAGGGAGGGCTTAATTCCCTTTCTTCATTTTCCTTCAAACCATAGTCCAGTGCTTTATAAATAATAATTCCCAAAGATTCAATGACCTAGAAACATTTAAAAAAGTGGTTAGTGGAGATGACTGAAGAGCTTTCTAGGACTAATTGTGAGGCATAAAATGGTTAGTATGATTTTTTTCCCTCAAACCAACATACAACACATACATAAACCCTTTTTATATTCTCTTAGATTTACACTTTGTGTTAAAAATCTATATTTGCCATTCATTTATAAAATATTAACCGAGTTGATTTTCCACATGTCCAAAAGGTATTTCTGAGAACAGATATAGTTATCAAAAAATATATCCTCTCAAAACTCTTATCCCAATGTTTATCTATTTAGATATTCACAGACATCCCAAGTATCTGAAAGACTGAAAACTCAGTTATGGGTAGCAATTAACTTAAGCCTAAACAACAACAAAAATCTGTTATATCCATATACACACACTTCTCTAGTTCCATTCAATCACTGAAAACACATCTCTCTCAGACGATGCAAACAAATGAGAGACCTTTTGCAAACCCTGAATTTTCAAGGTAGCTCACAGATATTCCTCCCTACCACTCACCTCCATCAATATTACTACCGGGCAAATGAATCTCACGTATCAACAGTAGATACACCACTGTTGCATACCACCTTGACAACTGCTCCAGACTTTGGCCAATGCAGGAAATCTCACTTTATTTCTCAATACCGCCTTTCTGCTATTAAACAAAAAAATCACATATAAAACCTTTTAATTTTATTGTTTTCTCTTTCTCTCTCTCTCTCTCTCTCTCTCTCTCTCTCTCTCTTTCTTGCTCTCTCTCCAAAGAACACTGGCAGCCAGCACGGTGGCTCATGCCCGTAATCCCAGCACTTTGGGAGGCTGAGGCGGGCGGATCACTTGAGGTCAGGAGTTTGAGATCAGCCTGGCCAACGTGGCCCATCCCTACTAAAAATACAAAAATTAGCTGGGTGTGGTGGCGTGTGCTGGTAATCCCAGTTTCTTGGAAGGCTGAGGCAGGAGAATCGCTTGAACCCGGGGAAGCAGAGGTTGCAGTGAGCCGACACTGCACCACTGCACTTCAGCCTGGGTGGCCGAGCAAAACTCTATCTCAAAAACAACAACAACAACAACAGCAACAACAACAACAACAACAGGCAATGAAGCCAAAGAATTAAAATTAAATCCTGACTTTTACAACACTAGTCAGCTGCCTCAGGGCAAATCATTTTAATGATGACTTTTCTCATCTGTTAAATGGGGATGTCAATGATACCTACATTTACTAAGATTCTGTTAAGACTATGCATGGAAGTACCTGGTACAGTATCTGACTTATTATAGGGACTCAATAATGTTCTCACTGCCCTCTCTTTCCTTCAGCCTACTCTTTTCCAATGTTTATCAGTTACTCCCAAAATAAATACATAAAATCATTCATTTTCATTATTTCATTTATAGCTGGTAATACCACATTTTAAAAAAAGTGCATCACGAATAAAAAATAAAGTCAGAAGTTTCTAACAAGTTAAACATAAGAGAATCATGACTGTAGCCCTTAAAAGCACTCACTCATTCAAAATTCTCTACAAAAATTCAAAAATTCTCTACAAAATCTGAAATCTACTTTACCAATGAAATAATATCTTCTCAATCCTAGCATTCAAAATGAATATTATCCTTAAAAATTCTTAACTTCTAAGTGTTTAAACAATACTGTTTAAAAATGTTTCTTACTGAAAATATGTAATATTTTCACTGGTTTTTATGGTCTGACCTGGCACTGTAGCCATTCTTTTCTTTTCTTTTCTTTTTTTTTTTTTTTCTTCTTTTGAGACAAGGTCTCACTGTCACCTGGGCTGGAGTGCAGTGGTACAATTACGGCTCACTGCAGCTTCAACCTCCTTGGGCTGAGGTGATCCTCCCACATCAGACTCCCTAGTAGCTGGGAAAACAGGTACACACCACGAGGCCTGGCTAATTTTTTTTGTAATTTTTTTAGAGACAGGATTTCACCATGTTGTCCAAGCTGGTCTCGAACTCCTGGACTTAAGCAATCGGCCTGCCTCGGCCTCTCAAAGCGCTAGGATTACAGGAATGAGCCACTATGCACTGTTTTCTACTACAAAAATGAATTTAAACAATGGATCTTCTAAGTTCCAAGGCAATTGACTACTTTAGTCATTCCTCCTGGCAGAGTCCCAGGACAACCCCAAATTTGTCCACCAGCCTGTTCAGGAGAAGGTACCATTTCAGTGCTTCCCTGGCACAGGGTGCACATTGCTCTCATAGCATGTACCATTCTCACCACAGGCAGGTGCTGCTTAGGGCAAGGATTTTAACTTTCAAAGATGGCAGAGCCTAACACTGTGGTGTGCATTAGGAAAAAACTTGTTAAACTGAACCTAGAGCAGTCACTTTAACAATCAGAGCATCCCACTAATGAAAGTCTCAGAAATAAAAAAGTTAGATTACATTCTGTATACAATTTTTTAAGGCTGAGAAGGTCTTGTTGCAATTATTCCCAGTGAGAAATCACAATTAACTGAGTTTTACATGATTGGATGACTCTAACCATCTATATAACCCTATCCTTCTTTTTTTGTTTTGCTTTTTTTTGTATGTTTTTGTTGCTTTTTGTTTTTTTTTAAGACAGAGTCTTGCTCTGTCACCAGGCTGGAGTGCAGTGGTGCGATCTCAGCTCACTGCAATCTCCACCTCCTGGGTTCAAGCGATTCCTCTGCCTCAGCCTCTTGAGTAGCTGGCAGTACAGGTGTGCACCACCACGCCGGGGCACTTTTTTATATTTTAGTAGAGACGGGGTTTCACCACATTGGCCAGGATGGTCTCGATCTCCTGACCTCGTGATCCACCCAGCCTCGGCCTCCCTCCCAGAGTGCTGGGATTACATGCGTGAGCTACTGTGCCCAGCCAACCCTACCCTTCTTCCTAGCGAGGGGGGAAAACCCTCTTATATAACCGTATCCCTCCCTCTAGAGCTGGGGGGAGAAAAATCACAAAACCATTGCAAATATCAAAACCAGCAATGGCTTCCAACCATAGCAAAGACCCAAGAATCACTCAGCAAGCTTGCTCTTTTCTCTACTCAGTTACTTTGCCTACAGGAGTGGATCCATTCTTCAAGAATTCATTTTATATCATCTTTCTCTTTAATCCAACACTCTTTTCTACCTCTCTAGGGCTCAGCTCCAAATAAAACAATCATTTTCCCACTTTCAAATGGACAAACTTACAGGAATCTATACTTATTTGCCCTTCCTTCCTTTCACAGTGGAGGAGTAGGTTTTCCATTCCAGTGTAAAGGTCAGCCCCACTCTCCTAACCCCTCATACCCTCCAGTGCAATCTCATTTCTGTGCTCCCTTTACAAGCAAACCTCCCGAAAAGGCGGTAGCAATGCTCATGGTAGCAATGATGATCTTATGAGGCTGCAGAAGAAGGCCTGGAAGATGAAGATGAAAAGAGAAAAATCTCAGCTATTCGTTTATATAGAATCATGAAGGTAAGGCAGCAGTTTATGTAGTGCTTGTTTTTCTCAAGGGTTGTTATTTCTTCTTCTTCTTCTTTTTTCTAGAGAGACAGGATCTTGCTCTGTCACCCAGGCTAGAGTGCAATGGTGCGATCACGGCTCACTGCAGTCTCTGCCTCCTGAGTAGCTGGGACAACTGGTGTATGCCACCACATTTGGCTAATTTTTAAATTTTTTGCAGAGATGGGGTCTTACTATGTTACTCAGGCTAGTTTTGAACTCCTGGGCTCGAGCAATCCTCCTGCCTTGGTCTCCCAAAGTGCTAGGATTACAGACATGAGCCACTATCTGTAACGAGCCCATCTCTCCTTTCTCTCCTTCCATTCACTGTTTAATTCATTTCCATCTAATGTCTTTCCTTCTGAAACCACTGAAACACAAATACTAAAGTCGCAAACACTCTGGATTCTAGATTTTCTCTCAACAATTACTTCTCAATCTGTCTATAGA